CCCCGCCGCCTGGGTGGCCGAGGGGCCGCCTCCTCCCGGGCCCCCAGCACGGGGGCCCGAGGCTCTCCTCCTCTCCCTGCTCGCGGCCGCGGGACGGACACCCCGGGAGCCGGGGAAGAGGGGATGCTGTCCGCTGGAGTGGTGACTATTAATGGTCAGCTGTTATTAGATAATATTCCTAATTAGTATTAATAAGCATCGCAATTACCAGGAGCATGCAGTGCCTTCCTCTTGCCTAGCTCTTCTCACACACACTACACCCCCCACGGCAGGCTTGCCTGTTCTCCTCCCACCAGCCTCTCACCACGGACCTCCCTGCAGACCTACTGTACATCACTGCCAGCAGCCCGGCATCTGGCACAGCAGCCTTTCAAGAGAAGAGACATCACTGGAAATCTGGCATGAGGACACACGCGCTGCCTCGCTGGCAGCCCTTGCCTCTGGACAGCCCCACCTTGACCAGCTCTAATTAGGCAGATCTTGGAGCAGGCTGCGACACGAAGGCAGCACTATCCCTTCCCACAAGGGTGGTGGACGGTGCAGAGAAGCACAATGAACATCCTGCAGAGGACGGCTGCGGTGCACTGGCAGGCACAAAGGCCAGCCTCTACTTGGTTTTATACACTTCCATGTTCTCCACCAGCTGCGGCCCTTGGGCCCCGCAGGACCTTGCCCTGTTCTCTCAGATATTCTCCCTATTGCAATTTGAAAGTAAACTGAATTCTAGACACAGAAAATCAAAGAGTTTTGATGCTTCTGGAAAACAGGAGAGACGTACAGTTTGTTGCCCCAAACGGTGCACACCTCGGCCAGCTCAGCCCTGCCTGAGCTGCTGTCAAGACCCCGAGAGCCTCTTTAGCCTCAGTTGCCTTTAAAGCACAGCTGCGGAGAGCCAGGTGGGTGGCCTGGCACAGACTTAGCTGCTGCGACAAGGGCAATGCATGTTGCGTGGTCTGGCTGCTGCTATGACCAGGGTAGGCATGCTTAACCAGATTTAAGCCAGGCACTCTTTCAAGATGGCAATTCTGCTGCTGGTGTGGCCAGAGCAATGTACAGCAGAGACATCCAACTTCAACGACACCTTCCCCTCCAGCATCTCCACAAAATAGGTCCCACACCTCACTGCATGGCCACAAACGCTCTCACAGAACAAGCGCCAACTGCAATGGCCCACCATGCCACACACCCAGCTAAGTCAGCACACACGGGCAAATCTAAAGGTGCCAGTGCCCATCTGCCTGGCTGAGTGGCAGGAGGGACCTGGCTTTATTCAAGCTTCTGAGCTGGTAAGGAGGTAAGACGCTCACTGTGTGCACTGCTGATGGGCTTGTCGTCTTCCTCGCTGTCCGGCCCAGAGCACCATTCGTCCCCACTGTATGGCTGCTTCCTTTCCAGCACGCACCGCCGCTTGCTACGGGGAGCCACCTCACCTGCAAAGGGACAGAGCCATCAGAAGAGCTGAGGAGACCAGGCAGGGGCTGGGAAGGCTGGGGCCCTGCCCAGCTGTGTGCTGCATGCTGGCACTGCCAACCCAGCCAGGATGCACTGGGCGAGAAGCCTTACACCAACATCTGCCCAGCCCTGGTAAAGATCCTGAAGCATCTGCTCAGTCTGGGCTCCTTGTCTTTGCAGCCAGACCTGGTGAGATGCTCCTGTGAGAGCTAGCAGTTCAGAATGAGATGTATTTCTTACTGTCTGAAAGGAGTCTGCAAACAGACTGA